AAAAAAATGTTTCAACTTCAAAACACAAGCACAAAGTAATTGTTATGTTATATGTCGCTTTATATTTCTTGCCTGAAGGAAAATTTCTGCCTTGACATTTATTTGACAGGTTTAGCCAAACTAAAAGCTGTGCACATAAGATAGAAATGATTACTTTTAGTTTTGCTATCATCAGGCATGATTTAATGCAAGTTCACACTTAGAGCTTGCACCACTCCTATATCACATGCATTATTTGAGAACACCTAAGCAATTTTAGTCAAGTAGGTAGCTGGACTTTGATTATACTACAATATTTCCCCACCGCAAATGACTGCTTTTACTTTTATAAAACTTATGAACACTTTTTTGAACTTCTGGATAAAACAGATCACTCTCTTTAAGATGAGAAGGGGATTCAAACTATCGCCCACAAAACATCAGACTTAGATTGTTTTTCTCTACATAACATCTCATGCTATTGAGAACAAACATCACGGAGAGATGTGTTTCAGTCTCTTTGTCATTGTGATGAATCGTTACCATGTTTTTAATGACCACAGGTTGGAAAATGATTTGGTTGAGAATACTGATACACAGAGGGACAATTCCAGGAGTTTGCGGCCTCCATTAGCATGACTATGGAGATCATCAATCTGCTGCTCGTTCTTTCAAAAAATAGATTTGTTTGAGTGCAATTTCTAATTTCTAACCAACTGCATCTAAGATATGTAACATTATTTGACCATGATGCTTGGCTATTAAGAGCAAAGACATATTAAGTATTATTACTTATTTATTAAAACTTCCTAGATTAATAATAATGGGAATATTATTTAAAACACGTTTATTTATTTATGCACTAAGGAAGGGGTGCTGCAACACAGCCAACACCCCTACCTCCCTGCTCATGGAAACATCTGGCTCAGAAAGCTTCTGGAAGCTTATCACCAGATTGTTCTCTGCAGAGACATAAAAGATAAGATGAACCATGGAAATGCAGGCAAACAACTGAGCCAAAAGTCAACATCCATATCACAGATAATCATTAAGTCAACAAACCCTAACTAATTTACACTCACCTGTTACAACAATGATCTCATTGCTCTTGGAGCGGACTCGGAGGGCGCTGAGATCATTCTGAGGGTCAGTATCTCTGATCACGCTCCGGGCTAATGCCACAAGGTTTTGAAGTTGCTCTGCATACTATACAGTCATGGACTGATCCAAAGTTGATCTGATGGGGATGCCTTAAAACTAATTAATTTATTCAGAAATTCATCAGACATTCAGACTTCATTTTAAGATTTTCCTGGATAAATATTCTTTTTGGCAGAGGTGTAGTGCTTCCGGTGTGGTAACCTAGTCATTACCACACAGACAAGGGCCGTCAGTCATGAGGGAAGCTCTCTACAACATCTGGACATAGCCAGTGGCCGTTTGACCCCCCCTGCACCTCCTGAAGCTCCATTATTCCACTGAAGGAAAAAGCACCCCAGACCATTATGCCGCCTCCTACACTGTGGAGCGTTGAAAACATCTCAGGTGGGATCTGCTTGTCCTGCCAGTAATGTTGGAAACCATCAGGACCCTCAAGGTTCAATTTTTTCTCACCAGAGAATAAAACTTTCTTCCAACTTTCAATGACCCGTGTTTGGTGCACTCTTGCAAAGTCCAAACGGTCAGTTCTGTGGTGTTCAAGGAGACGAGGATGGTGAAATTTTTGGGGGTCTTCCACTTGACTTTTTTGTTCCATAACCCTCAGGACCTTTTAAGAAATTCCAAATGACTGTCTTACTGCTCCCACCTCAGCAGTGACGGCACACTGCGAGAGACCCTGCTTTTGCAGTTCAACAACTTGACCACGTTCCAAAAGGGAAACTTTTTTTGCCTTTGCCATCAGAACGTCATGACAGTATGAATACCTGACAGAAAATGACAATGAATCCACATTTTTGCACAGATTTGGCCTTTTAAAGGCATGTGATCCTAAACTTGCGATCAGCTATAAAACAGCCTGTTTCAGTTTAAGCGTTGTTTTCAATAAACTGCATGCTCAAAAGAATGTTTTGTCTCACTCACATTTCTTCTTGCTGCATATTGAAGCTCTACTTGGAACCTTGTTAAGCTCCAACCATGCAAAATATGATTTTTGCCATTTTTCAAGTGTTCTTAAACTTTTGATTGTATATAACGTTGGTATTGGTATTACGATTGATATACTTTGTTTCTATCCTCTAAGTTTAGTTTGAGCTCACTTAACTGTGTAACAAATTATTTTTTGGAAATGAAAAACATGTACTATGAATAATGTCTGAACCTTTTTGGTTTGACTATTTTATTTATTGTCTGTAATACATTTAAACAACAGAAGCTGACCCAAAATGCTTTAGACTCAGGACGATCTAGATTCCAGGTCTCCAGAAAGTGATATTTTAAAATAAATAAAAAGCTGAAAGGTGTTTTACTTTATTAAGTAATTATTGTGCAATCACTGTGATTTAGTGGTTGTCAAAATGTTGTCATGAACAGTAACTTGAAAAAATCCTAAAACCTGACATGACATGAAGCAGGACAGACAAACCGACACTGAACTGAAGGAAACAGAGGACTTAAATACACAGAAGGGTAATGAGAGAAGTGGACACACCTGGGGAAACACAGCTAACGCAAATAAACAAGATGCCACAAGGGAAGTAAAACTAAACAAATTGAACATGAAAACACAAGACTTTCAAAATAAAACAGGAAACATGGAAAGACATGAACTGGGACACGCAAGCTTACACAAGAGACAGCGAGAGGGAGCAAGAGAGGGAGAGGGACACAGAGGAGAGAGACACAAAGGGAACCTACATAGACAAGGAGATAACACGTGACAAACAGAAAAAGACTAATAAACAAGGAGACACGGGTGAATCACAAAGACTAAAACTCACCCAGAGCATCCTGACCAACTGTGTCACAGTCTGGTACATAAATTGCTCTATTGCTGACCGCAAGGCACTGCAGCAGGTGGTGAAAACCGCTCAGCGCATCACAGGGACTCCACCTCCTGCCACTGAGGATGTCCACAAGAATAGATGTCTACGCCGAGCAAACATCATTCTCAGGGACTCCTCTCATCCTGCCAAGACACTCTTCCAGCTCCTCCCCTCCAGAAGGCGCTACAGGACCCTTCAGACTAAAACCAGCAGGTTTAGGAACAGCTTCTGTCCCACAGCTGTCACCCTACTGACCTCAGTCCCCTGCTGAACCTTTTCATCCACACTCACTCAATCCTTCTACACTCCTAGTGACCACGATCATTGCTGTCATTCATTCTCAACATTCACCATATTCTCACATTGGTTACGGCTATAGATTTTAGGACACTGACATACATAGTCTCTGTTATAATGCGTACACTGTTCACTATTATAGTCAGTTCAGAGCGCTACGCTTCCACTACTGTAGATATATTCATAGCACTCTGTAGATCTGTTTGCCACACACTGGTACATCTATGTATGTATTTATGTAGCACATCTGTGTATTTGTTCATAGTACATCTGTATATTTGCCCATCCGTATAGCAATGTAGAACATCTGTATGCTATACAGGGCATCTGTATATCTGTACATATGTATACAACAGTATACATATGTATACACAATGTACATTTGTCTGTAGCTCATCTGTATATTTGGTCTCTCTGTACATAATTCTGTTCATAACTATTACACCATTTATCCTGCCCTTATCTGTATATATCTGTATATTTGTTCTCCACTTAACTTATCTGTATATAATCTGCTCTTATTGCACTTACTGCTCTTGCACTTCTGGTTAGATGCAAACTGTATTTCGTTACCCTGTATTTATACATGTGTAATGGCAATAAAGTTGAATCCTAAACCCTAACTAATAATAACAATACAGGAACTTAACATAAGAAATCAAAAATACAAAATAAACTTAAAATATATTTTGCATTTTGACACTTTATAGGTTAAAAGTATCAGTATTGGTATTGTATTAGCAATAATGGACCTGTATTTACTTGGTATTGTTTGTTTTTTCATTTTAAAGCATGACATTATTATGTAGTTGTAGGAGTAATTTCTTGAACTAAGCAATCATTGTGGTGTACCAGTTTAAGATGAAAAAATATACATAAAATCAGGCCTTTACTCATGTGTTATTACTGCTCCAGCACAGTATTGACCTAAATGATCAAAAGTGAATACATACTCACTGTGCCAGCACCTTCTTTCCTCAGTCTCATTTCTTGAGAATGACAAGAAACAGTGTGGTTCTTGGACAATGACAACTTTGAGAACCTGTTCTTGAAAAATATCAGTGAGCTCATCAAGCGGTACTGTACCAACCTGGAATGTAACTGATTAGCTTTTCCCTTTTATTAATTTGCATGTTTATGGACATCAGCTCGCTTTAATTCTATTCATTCTGACATAAACCTTTCTTCTGCACTTCCAGGTGTTGATCATACACGTGAAGCCCAAAGATCTCAGTCCGGCATACAGAAGTGTACATCTCCCTGGATGAAATCCAAGATGTCAGTGAATGTTAAGTTGCACCAAAACATTTCGAGACGAGTATTAGTTTATTTATCCAAGACATTTAAACGTGTCACCAGTGAACTGAAAAAATAACGCTGTCTTGCCATCTAGTGGTGACAGTGTGCACAGCCTCACAATGTATGTGGTCTTCTTATGATGTGATTAAAAATGGCTTTAAGGACAGACATTGTTATTTTGCCTCCTTCTTTTCTTCTCTCAGCTGAAACATTCATCTCATCCATGTCTTTCAGCGTGCACACATCAATAGCCATCACTTCACTCCTTCTGTAGCCAACCAGGATACTCTAGTCCCAAGGGAGAACCTGTCTGAGGATAAGGAAGAGTCTGATCAGCAGGAGGAAAAAGAGGACGAGGAACAAGATGAATAAAGTATCAGGGCAATGAAGCTGTTTCTGAGACCTACCGGGAGTATGTGGATAGTGAGTCAATGTCAAGATAGTGGAATGTGTGTACATACGTTACCTCAAGGGTAATTTGTATTTGATATGACGGAAACAGTTAAAAAGTGACCCATATAGTGGATATAAAAACAAATTTTTTCATGTAATTGGTTCTCAAAATATTTGATACTGATATGCAATGCTAGGCATACACCGTATTTGACATTTATTGGATTATATAATAATCCAGAGGTGACTTGCATCCAGAGGTTAAGGTGATAAATTCCCTGATTCTGGGAACTAATGTCCAATGAGTTCAAAGAGTCCATTAGAACATTCATCTGGGACAGATGTGTGATACTCTTTGGCATCATCGTTGACCATAACCATGACCGGAAGTTGGAAAATTATGATTTGGAAGAAGATGCTGATACACACGGAGACAATTCAAAGAGTTTGCAGCCTCCATGAGTATGAGGATGGAGCTCATCAATCTGCTGCTCTTCCTTTATGACCTTTTTACAAGCTAATCATTCAAAAAACAAACAAACAAACTGAAAAATAAATCTAAAATTTGCTTTTGTACAATTGTGAGTTGAAAGATGCATTTGTAGCACCTGGTGACAAGGCTATGTGACATAATTTGACCATGGTGCCTGGTTATTTAAAGGCAGAAAAGATAAATAACAACAGAAATATTATTTAAAACATTTAAAAACTTTTCTCTCTTTTTTTCTTTTTCTTTTTGCACTTAGCAGGTGGTGCTGCAACACACCCAACACCCCTACCTCCATGCCCATGGAAACATCTGGCTCAGGAAGCTTCTGGATGCCTATCACTAGATAGTTGTTCTCTGCAGAGACATAAAAGACAAGCTGAACCATGGAAATGCAGGCAAACAACTGAGCCAAAAGTCAACAACTACATCACAACAACTAAAATCATTAAGTCAACAAACCCTAACTAATTTACACTCACCTGTTACAACAATGATCTCATTGCTCTTGGAGCGGACTCGGAGGGCACTGAGATCATTCTGAGGATCAATATCTCTGACTGCGCTTCTGGCCAATACCACAAGTTGTCGAAGTTGCCCTGCATATTGTAGAGTCATGGACTGATCCAAAGTTGATCTGATGGGAACACCTTAAAAGAAATTCATTCATTCAGAAATTCATCAGACGTTCAGACTGTATTTTTAATATTTTCCTGGATAAATATTCTTTTTGGCAGAGGTTTAGTGCTTCCTATTTGAATAGCTGAGAGAATCAGTCATGCACATGTTTGAGCTGTTACTTGTTTACACACACTGATCAGGAATAACTGAGCAAAAGTGATCAAACGGATTAAATTTACAAACATAAAGTCATCTGTCTGACCATTTTCATCAGTTCTTACATGGTGCTTTCAGTTCCCTCCTCCCTGGATATGTCTTCTCTCTCTGTTTCACACTATCCTGTGGGACTCTTGCCCACACACTCTAACTTTGAGGCCCTCTCACTCCCTCTCTTATTCTCTAGTGAATTTTGAATGTCACAGTTACAGATGTATGTGACAGCTCAGGTGGAGCGCAGGATTCATCCAGAGGAGAGCTGCTTTATTATTATTTATTATTATTATTCCACGGTGTAAACTTGGACTCTAACACTTGATCTAAGCACACATTTTTTTTCTTCTGTATGCCATGTGAGGTTATGTATTTTTTTTAAAATTACTACTAAATACTGTAACATTCAGACATTAATCTGCTCTCATTTTTTTAGTCATTTTTTCTCTCAACTGTTGCATTTTCACAGATATTTAAATGTTCTATATTACAGATCTGAGAGAAGGAGAAAAACAAACTACATAAAAATGATTTTTGGTGTTGCAGAGCTTTATGACTGCATAATTTGACAAAAAATCTTAAACACTGCAAATCTATTATTTAAAAAAAATATCTCAGTTGCCTAATGCATCTTGTACCGTGGCTTCGCTGTAGTTCTCTGAAAGGGAAACCAAATACAAATGAACTACAATAATAACTGTGTCCATGGGCCAGATTTATTAATGCTCTCCTCTAGAGCACAACTATCTTTTGGCATTAAAAAGCAGCTGTTGGGATTTAATGAAGAGGCACGGTATCGGTTATGGTACTGAAAGCAGTTTAACAGTAAATTTAACATAGTAAAAGCTGACATTATATTGTTTTGGGGGTTTGTGACAGTTAGAGTGCTCAGTTATTTGAAATGAGAAGGCTAAATGTTATCAGAGAGTGTGTAATTTTAAATGGAAATAGACTGGTACTTACACGGCATTTTTCTACTTTAACTGAGCACTGAAAGTGCTTTGTGGCGGGTGGATGACTCAAAGCTGTGAGCACAGCACTCTGTCCTATAACACTTCATTCTGTCCTCATGTAGAATGTTTAGAGCTGAGTCCCTTTCTGGTCCTCTGTAGTAATAGTATTTTACTGAAACTGAGCAAAACTGAGCTGCATTTCAGCTTTTTAACTGCATTTCTGCACAGAGATCAATACAAAATGAAAACATCTCTTCACACCTTTTTTCAGCAGTGTGTACACAGAGCGATTTGGATCGTTCTTCACGCACATGCTCACGTTCTAATGGCAAACAGTGTTGGTGTAAGAAAACGTGTTAACCATGCAGTTACACTGTGTTATTTTTGTTAGGCAATAACTTGCTCCTTTGTAATCCTTCATGGAGCCACGAATCTGTGCTGCTCTTGCTAGTTATTTACTGAAATAAACTGTCGATAGCTATCAGCTACAAAACTAACAACGTGCCTCTTCGGAAAACCCCCACTGTAACTTTTTGACACCAAAAGAGGGTTTTAAGCTGCCGCAGACCATTATTTTTGTCTTTTACCTTAATTAACTTTCTCCCATTTCAACTAATTATAACATCCATGAATATTTTATTTCCTCTGTGAAAAAAAGCGACAGAGCATCATTCTGAGCAGTACTGCTCTGCTTTTTGGTGTTGCTTACCATCTGGATCGACGACTAGCGTTCCAATAACACCTTTAGTGGCTTCAATCCTCTTCATTTGTGCCTCAACTTCCTCACCCTGCTCAACCAAAAACATGATCAGGCGCACGTTTACATAAAAAATGTGGCTTTTCCAGAACTGATAAAACTGTAATCAACCTGATGGTTGAGGGATTTCGTGTCCCATTTAAAGTTAGAAAATGTTAAATATATTCTAAAAGAAAAAAAAAGGACATTTTTATTAATGTATGTGGCCTGTTTACACCCTGCTTCTCGACTGTTAGTGCGATAACAAATTGGAATGATTTATAACAATGTCTTACAAGTATAAGTGGCAGCAGGCATACTCAAGTAATGGGAGTAAAGTCACCCCCATTTGACTTTACTTACTTATCGGAAGTGTCATTCATTTTCAGATACTAAGTGTAGCTTGCTAGAATCAAATGACAGAACAAATACTAAGGCTTTCTGTCTTATATAGTTCATAATCCATCGTGATTGTGTGATTAGTTTCGTATAATATTACTGAAATGTAGTAAAGAGAAAATAAAAATATAACATAATAAATGAACACAAAATTAAATATAAAGCCAAGACTCCTACTTTGAGTGGTTATTTGATAGTGGTTTGTATCATTTCGGGTTGTAAACCTGTTATAATACTTGTATCCCCTTAAAAAGAACGGTAGCTGATAAGTACTGGCAGGTTGATGTATTGTTCACCTTGTTTGGTAAACATAAACATAATTAAAGTTATCATTATGTAGGCTTCTGCTGTTGTGATTTGACGCTATATAAATAAAACTGAATTGAATTGAATTAAAAGTTGTTCATAAAGTCGTACCATTTCGTCGGCCTTCTTGCTCTTTTTGTGCGTCTCTACGGTCTCTCTGTTGCCAAGAGAAACGGAAGAGACGTCAGGAGCGAGCGGAAGTGTAGCGTAGCCGTCATTGTGTGGAGGTGTGTTGTGTTCTGTTTATCCTGCCTGCGAAAATGCCGGAGTTAGCGGTGGAAAATGTGGTCGTTCACCCCCTTGTGTTGCTCAGCGTGGTGGATCATTTCAACAGGTCAGTGAGATCTGTATTTAAGTTCCGTCTTATTATCAATATTGGACTCCAAAGTGTCCTGAAGTGTGACGCCGCAGCTAGGCTAAGCTAAGGTTAGCCATGCTGAGTCAGAGTGCCGTTAGCTAGTTAGCTTCTTAAAGTGTCAATGTACTGTATGAGCCGTTAATGAATCCTTAAAACAATGTTATTCATTAGCATTTCTACAAACTAATCCACGTACCCGAACAGTTTGATCTGGTGTCATTAAACATGACGGAGCTGTGCACTGACTCTAGCTTAGCTTACAGGTTAGCTAACGAGTCAGACTGTATGGGCTCCATTGATTACATTTTTACAGAAATCTGTGACAATAACAGCTTCCTCTGCTCGTTTCTTTTTTAAAATCTTGAATCTACAGGATAGGAAAAGTGGGAAATCAGAAACGAGTGGTCGGTGTCCTCCTGGGGTCATGGCAGAAAAAAGTTCTGGACGTCTCAAATAGTTTTGCAGGTAAAGTACATCCTCAGACATCTTTTCACCTTAAAATACTTAAGCCAAGCATCTACACTGTCAATTTCCACTGTAATATGTTTATATCTTTAGAAAATATATGTTCACGGAATGTGTTTTAGTTAGAACAGTCAGAAACGGACACGTTATGACTCCAGTGCCTGTGTTAGGTTCTTGATGATCTTATTCCCACATATCTTTTAACTTTATAGTCTACCAAGTCCAGCAGCGTCTCACAGTCTGTGATTTCTGCTTTATTTTATTTTATTGCATTTAATAACCATTAAACATCTTTGTCATTTGAAGTAAAGAAATCTCTGGTATTCTGTTTCTGACCTTTGCTTTTCAACCTCTTTTTGACACAAGCATGTCCACTAAACATATGGGTGACCAACCTGATTCATTTTCTGCCATGTTAATATAGACAAATGCTGTTTCTAAAGCAGTGATAAAACATTTGTTCAAACACTTATGTTTGTTTTCATTTTAAAGCTTGGAATCATTTTTATGAAGTTGTATGTGCCTGGACATGGCGCAGTGCGTTCATAACAGCCAGTTTTTACCCAGATTGTCCTGACAACACATCATCACTACCTTTAAGGGCTCAGTACACTGGTCACGTTGGTGACTTCATGTGCTATCGGTAGCGTCAGCACACAGCCGGTGTATAATTTAGCCGGTGCAGTGTTCTTCTGAATAATTGATCAGACAAAATCTCCACATCAGCGCTGATATAGGAGGAAGAGAAGTCAAAAGCAAAAATAAAGCATTTTTCCACAAAGTCTCATCTTTTCAGACTAATGCAACATCTCCCTTTGTATAAGCTGTGAATCTCTTTTGTAGTGATATAGCATTAAAACAGTGGTCAAAACTGACAGTTACACACTTGTGTCTTCAACACAAGTCTGCAGTGGCACAATACACCAGATTACAAAAATTGAGAGGTGCACAGCTGGCAGAAACAGACTTGCGACAGCAGATGTGACGTCAGTTTATATTCAGCTTTGCTATACAGTGGATATAATGGGGTCTTCACACCTACAAATCCCTATATGCTCTTGCTCCCCAGTATTTATCTGACATTCTCCTCCCCTGCACCATATCCTTATTCATTTAATTATTATTTTTATTTGTTCTAACTATTAAGCGATTACAGGACACCAGTGTAAAAATAAGTGATGTACCAGTTTAAGAAGATCTATTAAGTCAGGGTTGTCTCATGTCTCATTACTTCCTGCTACAGCACAGAATATGTATTCTGAGCCAGTTTATAACACACTTTTTGTTTTTGTTTTTTTTCCTCCCCAGTGCCATTTGATGAGGATGACAGGGATGACTCAGTTTGGTTCCTGGACCATGACTACTTGGAGAACATGTATGGCATGTTCAAGAAAGTTAATGGTAAAAGCAGTGCTTCTGTCTCTTAAATTAGTATGTTTTTAATGTTAGTGTGTCATTCATACATTTGCGTTCACTTTTTCAGCCAGAGAACGAATAGTTGGCTGGTACCACACAGGACCCAAATTACACAAGAATGACATTGCCATCAATGAGCTCATCAAGCGGTACTGTACCAATTCGGTAAGTAACTGATTTGCTTTTTCCTTGTATTAATGTGCATGTTTGTGGACATCAGCTCGCTTTAATTCTAATCATTCTGACATAAACGTTTGTTCTACACTTCCAGGTGTTGGTCATCATAGACGTAAAGCCCAAAGATCTCGGTCTGCCCACAGAAGCATACATCTCTGTGGAGGAAATCCATGATGTAAGTGATCGCTAAGGGGCAACAAAAGTTGGAACAAGTACTTTGTTTAGTTGTTTTTCCTCAGATCAGATTAAAAAAATCTTAATTCATATGGATAATTCCTTCTTTCTAGGATGGCACTCCTACGTCCAAGACATTTGAACATGTCACCAGTGAGATTGGAGCTGAGGAAGCAGAAGAAGTGGGAGTGGAGCACCTGCTGAGGTACTGAACAAACATTTGAATTTAAACACATTAATGCTACACTGTTAGTCGAATAGAAATTTCAATAAACAAACAATAAGTGGCATAACTGTACAGAGCATCAACTGTGCATTGCTAGGGCTGCATGATTATGGCAAATTTTATCACAATTATTTTGATTGGTGTTGAGATAAAAATTGATTTTAGTGACAAAAATGTTTTAATTAGACTTTGATATAAACATAACTCTGCTTTCATGTTCCTGCTGATGTAAAAATCTCTGCATCAACATAACATTCATCCTCGTTCGCCTAAATTGCACCTCTCAGAAGAAGAAAAATAGAAATAAAGAAATTGGACCAAAATTTAACACACAATTAAATTAACCGGGCACTGCGTTCACTTTTACACTGTGCTTCATTTGTTTTAATTAAAACATTTTTGCCAACATATAAAATGTTTATTCAGCTGGCTTAAATGCAGAAAAGGCAAAATATAAAATCCTTTATAATAGAGCAGGGCAATATGGCCAAAAATATTTATCACGATATATATTTGAAAATTTGCGATAACGATATAACTGACGATATAATTGATGCGAGACAAAACCACAACATTACTAGCGCAAAAAGACAACCTTCCATTTATTTTCACTTAAACAAGAAGCTGGTTTTTATGTACATTAAAGCTTTATAAAAATTTAACAGTGCAAATGCAAATTCCTTGCTGAAAGTTTAACCAAAAGGCATTTCCAGTAGAAATGGGCTGACATATCCTGAGCATAACCATGTATAATATCCAGTGAAGTTAAAAAGAGGTGCCTTACAACATTAAACTGCAGTGTGCCAAATAAAAAAGTAAAATACGTATTTTTCAGACCATTAGGTGCACGGGATTATAAGACACATTAAGCGAAACAAAGTAGTCAGATAAATCAAACTTTATTAAACTCATTCTTCTTGCTTCCTCCACTTCTGTACAATTGATTTATTAATGCTGTATTCTATCACAGCTGCCCTATTCCCGTGTTGTTGCAGTATATTAATGACTAACCTCGTATTGTGGATGGATTATCTCAGTTGTTCTCGTGACTGAAGTTTGGTGCATTTACAGCATCCTGCCATGCGATTGCATTTGTCTCTAACTATCAGGAACCTTCACGTTAACTTTTATCGAGTGGAAAAGTGTTAGTGTTCGTCCTCCAGCTAGCGATCACGTAGCACATCATTATATACCAGCTAGCCCAACTTCAGTAACCCTACAAACGTCACTGCTGTTTAGTTTCCTGTCTTCATTTATGTTGGAAGTGATAGCAGAGCTGTACGTTTGAATTTTTTCAGAAATATCTCAGTCAGAACATGCTATATCATGCTTAGGTAACTAGCGAGCTAACTTCCGCTAACTTCCTGCTAACTTCTAACTCCGTTAAATGTAATAAATTCTGTTTTCATGGATGCCTGGATGTTAAACTTAATAGTTAAAGCCTGGTAAAGCAGCAATGCTGATCGTTTTATTAAAGATGAAAGAATTTAGACAGTTTTTAACTCTCAGTGATGCTGCAGTGTTCGTTTGACTGTGGGAATGAAGAGTACAGAGTTTAGGACCCAGATTACTCCCAGATTTACGAGTACCTTAGTCCGACAAATACGGCAATAACGACGGCCCGCTTGCATGTTCTACAAAAAAATGTGCTTTGGTTGGTATCTGACGGACAAACACCAAACCAGCTCCACATAACTGAAGTGGCACCATTTTTACAAACCAATTCTGGTTCATCTGTTTCACTCAACAATCCGCTTTCTCCCCTCTCACATTCCGTTACCCATGCTTTTTCGGCCATGTGCGTATGAAAACAAAAGCACTGCGCATGCGTGTTTTACCCATATTCTATGGCGATATTTCATTTTCTTATCGTTGCCTAACATTGTACCGGTATTACTGTGAATGGTATAATATGGCCCAGCCCTACTTTGTAACTGCATGGATGTGAAAGTTCTCATGAGTTATGATATACCTCTTCATGTCCCATGCAATATTTAGTTGTTCTTGTCAGAGGGAATAACATATCTTTTGTCCACTGTGCTGATCAATTTCTTGCAGTATTTGTTACTCACTGTCTTTAGTGAACATGCGCCTCTGACCAAGTGTAATGTGGTTGTGCTGAGGATACATCACATTAGCAACCACTGCATTGTTCTTTGGCCTTAACATGCATAATTACATTGCACTGTGTGTTTGTTTGTTTGGGGGGTTTTTTTTGGGGGGGGGGGGGAACACACAAATGAGAAGAAAATAAAAAAACAAGTTGATTCTTGTTCACATGTGTGAGCCAAATGTGACACAGCTGCATCCCCTCTACAGAGACATCAAAGATACAACGGTGGGCACACTATCACAACGCATCACAAACCAGGTTCACGGCCTAAAGGGACTCAACTCTAAGCTGTTGGACATCCGCTCTTACCTAGAGAGGGTGGCTGCTGGCAAACTTCCCATCAACCACCAGATCATCTACCAGCTGCAGGATGTTTTCAACCTGCTTCCTGATGTAAATCTACTGGTAAGTTGTTTATGTTTGAGGTCTGTTTACTTTATTTTTAATCTGGCAGCTTTTTAAGTGCAAGAGATTATAAAACACGTATAGCTGTATGTTACTTTGGGAATTTCATGTTTGCACTAAATTAAAGATGTGGCTGTTACCTTTTTTTTTTTTTTTTTTTTTTCCATTTAAGTTTTACAAATACTTTAATAATCAATGCAGAAACGTAATAAGGAAAACTGTGTTTAGTGTGATAGTGTTTTTAAACAAAACTCAAAAATGAACTGGCATTTTCAATATCGTGATAAAATATTCATATGCCTTACTAATGTGTTTTTAATTGCTGTGATAAACAAAACCTTGGGTGTGAATATGAGCTGTGCGTGTGTGTGTGTGTGTGTGTGTGTGTTTGGGGGGCGGGGTCTTATCGTAAAAATCTGTGGTTAAATACTGCATCAAATAGCAATATTAAATGTCTTTTATTATACATAATAAACTACTAAGATGTTTGCTGGGATAATATGTACGTTTTTTTATTTTGCAGGAGTTCACAAAAGCCTTTTACCTAAAGACCAATGACCAGATGTTGGTGGTCTACTTGGCCTCGCTCATACGCTCTGTGGTGGCTCTGCACAACCTGATCAACAACAAGATTTCCAACCGAGATGCAGAAAAGAAGGAAGGACAGGAAAAGGAGGAAGGCAAGAAAGAGAAGAAGGATGACAAAGAGAAAAAAGATGACAAGGAGAAAGAAAAAGAGAAGGAGAAGGAGAAAGCAGACGGTGCCAAGAAAGATGAGAAGAAGAAAAAATAGTGAGCATTCTTCCTCTGCGGTCCTCTCTCAAATCACACCGCCATCTTCTGGATGGTGCTCTACTTTGTGTCCACAGGCACAGCTCTGTATGTGGGTCTCGGGCTAAAAGTAGGACTCTATATGGGGAACGGTGTCATTTGAGATTTGGTCTCATGGTCACAAACGGCACTCTCAAAGACTTGTCATCCTACAGAGATGATGTTGTTTGCTCGTCGGTGTTGGCCAGTGTGAGAACATGCTGTGTCCTGTTTTCATAGTTGCCATAGCCTCGATGTTGCAAACACCCGGTGTTGCTTTTTTTTCTTTTCTTTTTTTTGTATGTTCGAGGAAATGTTTCTGTATCACTCATTAAACTTGGATCATATTATAAGATGATTGTTCTGATTCTGTCTTTACATTTTTACACATTGTTTATCCTTAATATTTAAAAGCAGACATGTGGTAAAGTCACTGTTATAATTTTAGAATTGTGACTCCACTTATTATTATGGAAGGGGAAGTTGAGTTGGAGAAAAACAAATGTGCAAGTGCTTACGCTGTGTGTGTTTGTGTAAACTGGTAGGGCAGTTTTAACTTGACAAATTGCCAACTGTCAACTGATATAGCTGACTTGTTTTAAAGCGATACTACATAAATACAGCAAAACTAAGCTTTAATTTAAATACTTAAGGCAAGAAAGCCAGGGGAATAATGTTCCCCTGTAGAGAAACTTATTAATAGAGCATAATGGGAAAAGAAAATACTTTAGATCTTTTAGAAATTGCACACAATTTGTTTTCACATTTGAAGCTCATCAAGCAGATGATGCAAAGCAATGTCCTCAGCAAAGGTTCTGACTAGTCTGAAAGACACAGCTAGCACCTTAATGAGTAATAACCCAGTGAATTGCCTGTTTCAGTATAACTTTTTCACACTTATTCTTTCATACACAAGTTTTGCATTAGTAAAGAATAAAAACACTTTAATTACAACTGTGATAATCATTTAACATTTCTGATTTTTTTAAATTTGAATTAAGCTACAGGAAACATTTCTAGCACATATTGTTAAATTAAAAGCGGTTTAATTAATGTATTGGGCTTGTCTGTGAAATCATTGCGGAGCACAGATGCGTGATAAACGCTCGCGCACAGCTCTTTGATGAGGAGGAGCCGTCACCTGGCATGTTTTTGTTTTTTTTAAAACTGCGTCATCTGCAGCCTCTCCCCAGCGCTGGAAGTTTCTCGCTCTTTCACTTACCAAAATATACGAGTAGGAGTAACACCACCATAGCGCGTTTAAGCCCTGGTTGTGTGGGACAAATCAGATTATCGGAAAGACAAACTGGATTCTGACGTAAAGGGCTTAAAACCCGGCGGAGGAGCGTCGCGTGTGCCGCTCCAGCTCACAAGCAGTCCGTAAAAAAGGAAAAGAGGAGAGCCGCTCGTGCAGCCTCCTGTCATCAAACCTCCACACACCCCTCCTCTTCCCCGTCTCTCAGGACCTGAGCATGACTGTTCAGATTTTTCGCTGCGACTGAACGGATCGGACGGCCGCCGGGGGTGTCATGGCTTCCTATCTGCAGGTGAGGCTGCCAGCTGCCGTCCTCTCTCCGGGCTGGGGTGTTTCGTACTTGTCGGGGTGTGGTTGTGCGCGGGGCACGGTAGGCCCTTTTAAATAGAAGGGAGGAGGCACGAGCTTTTCCCTCGCAATCTAAGCTGTCATGCCTTTTTACCTTACCGCCACCCTACCACTAATTCGCCCAGTAAATTGGGTAAACAGGTGGTTGAGAGGCTCGGTGTTGCCGGGGGTGGGGGGCTTCACTTTGATTTAACGCATCTTTGGCGCACATTATCTGTCAGTGCCAAATAGTTTGCGCATTTCAATTTATGGTTCCAGATAGCTGATGATGAGAAAGGCCACGACCTGGACCTTTTCTGTGTTCCCAGACATTATGAGAACGATTTGGACAAGGTGATTATCCCACATGGACTCATCATGGACAGGTAAAGTGATTTGTCACCTCTCTGGCTGGGGTTTTTTGTTTTGTTTGTTTTGTTTTGGGGGGGTTGGGGTTCACAGCAGACATCTTGGTTGCACAGGTGTACTGATGATGGGAAACTGCTGCAATCGTGAGGTACTTAGTGGAGCGGACTCGTGTTTTCAGAATGTGTGCTATGAAAAACAGGTGTGCACTATACAAAATACTGCTACCCACAACCAGGGGTGGATTTGTATGTGGGTTTGAGGGCATATGAAGACTCAATGCCAGTAGTGCTAAAGTGCAAAATCACTTAAAGGATATTCTCCCCATCATTTAAGAACTATGCGTCATTATGATTTACAGTGCTGTCACTGTTTCTCTCTCCCACCTCCTCTTTGATGCAGGACAGAGCGCCTGGCCCGCGACATCATTCGAGACATGGGGGGACACCACATTGTAGCTCTGTGTGTGCTGAAAGGCGGCTACAAGTTTTTTGCAGACCTCCTCGACTACATTAAATCACTGAACCAGAACAGTGATAAATCAGTCCCGCTGACAGTGGATTTCATTAGGGTGAAGAGCTACTGCGTAAGCCGCCTTTCTCATTTCATGGATGTGAGCGGAGGGAAATGGAGTTGGCAGAAGTACAAATGAGAGCATTCTTGTTAAAAAACGCTGCAGTGCAGAGGCATTTTGGAAAAGTAGACTTTTTTTTTTGATAAAAACTTTCATTATGAGGGAGTTTGAGCTTATGGATACTGTCTCATTTTTGTGCCCCCCCAGAATGATAAGTCAACTAACAATGTTAAAGTCATTGGAGGGGATGAGCTGTCCAATCTCGCAGGCAAGGTTAGTCTTTTTGTCACAGAGAAATACTGCTGTCTTCTTCATAGAGGTTTGAATTATTAACTTTGCTTCTGTTTTTTTGCTCCGCAGAATGTTTTGATTGTTGAGGTAAGCTCTTGTTATTATCATTCAGGTGGCTGATGTGGATTAAAAAAATCTACATCTAAAACATGATCTCTATTATTAGGGTTAAATAAAACATTAAATACTCATATTTTATTACTGCTACTGTAGTGGTTTTAAATTACAGTTATGTTTGCTTGCTTTTAACATTAAATATCAGACATGATATCTGATAGATGCTTATTTGTGCTTACATCTCTAATTCGACCACTTCCGGCCTTGTTGAAAGGATATTGTGGAGACAGGAAGGACGATGGAAACACTACTTTCTCTACTGAGTGAATGTAATCCCAAGATGGTTAAAGTTGTAAGGTAGGCACCCTCAGATGCTGTTTATAGTGCATGAGACTGAATTACAGACCTCCACAGTAACTGGCTGGTATGTCTTCAGAGAGACAAAATGCATCTAACTAACGGGTACTCTCCTTTAGGACTGTATTAGAGATGTGATGTGACGGAAGGATGGAGCAGCTTAAGAGTTAATCTGCAGTTCTATTAACTGCACTGTGGAGGCAGAGGCCATTTCTCTGATGTATTCCTGATAGCTGGTTAAAACAGGAAAAGTGCTCAGCCGATACAGTTCCCCTCTGTTTGCACCACTTACAGTAGTGGGAGGGACATCTCTGTGGCTTTGATGTGTGCCGTGTAATAGTCTCCTATCAGTTTTTTGTCATACCCATTTAAATAGAATTATAGACTTTTAAGGGGTAGTTTACCACAGGAAAAAATAAAACTCCTCCCACTTGAGTGTGATTTCGAACCATGTGATTATTTTCTGTTCCCCCTGAGGTTTTGCAATATCTACCACTGAAATGTCTTTCGAGCACACTGCAGCCAAACAGACACTTTTACAATCCACAAGCGTCTATTTTTTTCAGTTAGAATTGTCATTTTCTAGAATCTACCACAGTAAAAAATTAATTTTGTGAAATAGGATTCCCCAGTTTTGTCTGTACATGGGTCCATAAGCTAAAAAAAAAAAAAAAGTTTAATCTTGGACTGCAAATAGCCATCTATGGGTGGATGTAAGATGTAAAACGTGACCTGAACAGTCTTTGTTTTGATGACAGCTTTTTGTCTTTGACTTCCTCATAAAGCTTTCCGCATTTATCATTCTAGTCTCCTGGTGAAGAGGACCCCAAGAAGTTCAGGATATAGACCAGACTGTGAGAACCTCTTATTTTTCTTCTACATTCTCTGTGTAGTGACGAATGGTATGGCTCAATTTGTGACTTTCAGTCATTTGCGACTCTTCGAAGACCCAGTGAAAATTTTAATAAAGCAGGATTATAATTAATCTCAGGGAAATCTACTCTAAATGTAGCCGAGCCTGGCACTTATGTACTAATGCAAGCCTTATAACCCCCTGCTCACACCATCTATGATTATGTAATGCTTTTAGGTTTGAGTTGGGTAATCTCTTTAAGATCGTCCCTCAAGGACAGCTGTTACTGTAAGTGTTTTGACTTTCCGCTGAGACCATAAAAGAGCAGTGACTGCTTGTTTATGTCAGAGCCAGTTTGTTGCTTGTTTTCTTCCAGTGGTCTTAAAAGTAGCTTCTGGTTTCTCTTATTTATAACCCCTTGTATCAGTGATGTTACATAGGGAGATTTCCTCTTCTCACAGCTCCTAATGCTCCTATCACTGCAGCCACTTTAGACTTTACCTTTCCCATCTGCTCCAGTTGTTTCTTCTGCCCTTGCTAGTTCTCTATTTTTTGTGTTTCTTCTTAGTTGCTGTCGGCTGAGATTCCCACATCTATCACAGATGCACTTTGTTAACCACCACTATGTCTGGTTGGTTAGTCAGCAGCTGCTTGTCTGTCTAGAAGTCAAGCTCTGATAGGACCTTGTTGTTATACTGCTATGATCAGAACTCTCCTCTAAGCCATCCTTTTCTATCCACTGGTAGTATTTCTTAATGCCAGCTCCTTCCTCTATCCATTGATGGTACATTCCAGGAACAGATTCCCATAGGGGTTTGGTCATCCATGATAGTTCCTCGTCCTGTTCCCCAAGTATCCTCAGTTGTCTGAGGTATTCTTGGCACTCACTAATCCTCTCCGTTCCTTTTTTCTGTTGCTCATAAACCCTCAGGGTGCTAGACTTCAGGTAGAGAGCTCCGTGCATTGTGAGGAGTTTTGGTGTCTTGACATGAGTGCCATCTCTCTCCTCCTGTGGTCAGCTTGTTATTCAAACTGGGTATCTGATGATCGATAGGGCACAGACATTGATGGCTTGGATCTTATTCCTTCTGTTCAGCTAGCTTCTTAGAACCTACAATACCTTTTGGAGGTATATGGCTGTGGCTGATCTTTGTGCGACTTTGTCATGGTTCTCGTTGGCCTGTGGGATATACAGGTACTTATAGTTGTTCTATATATCTGCTATTTTATCTTCTGGCGACTGCACCCCTTCATATCCATCGTATCAGCTCTTAATGATGAGCTGGCTTAGAGGGTTGAGGCCTATGCAGAACAGCAGCGGGGACACTTTGGTATATTCTGCATTTGATGGCAACTTAAGTGATTGCCTTCGATTTTGTTTCCTGTGTTGTATTCCACAGACCCACTGACTTCCTGATGAAGGTTATTAGTATACTATTAGCTTTGTACAGTGCCAACCACTCCAGTATCCATGTGATTTTACTTATATAATATAAATACATATTATAATGTATGTTTGTTTGTTTGTTTGTTTGTTTGTTTGTTTGTTTGTTTGTTTTCCCCCAGACATCGGTTTTGAGGTACCGGATGCCTTTCTGGTTGGCTATGCTTTGGATTACAACGAGTACTTCAGAGATCTCAGTGTAAGTGTTTTTTGGAAGTTGATTACTCAAGGTCTCCTATTATAAAGGTGATTTTTAACACAGATTTAGCTGGTTTGGGTTACTGCAACATCCACTGGAGATAGCTGTGGTTCTAATAATCGCTGGCAAGCTGGTATAATACTGGACCCTGATTTGCCCCCATGCATTCATTGGCATGCAAGTTTGTGAATGTGTGTGATAGGGTGAATGGTGCGTGTAGTTAAAAAGTGCTTTGAGTGCTCAGAGTAGAAAACCAAAGTGCACAAGTGCCAAACCATTCTATTTACAGAGGTGTGGAAAATTTTAATGTTTTTACATGCTCACAAGAACAAGTGCACCTGAGATACTGAATGAGTAATTGGCTTGATATTTCACAAATTATCTGTCTGCCCTAAGATGAAATTATTTTAGACATTATTGCTTTTACATGGTTGTTTTGAGGACCCATCTAATATGAATTATCAGGATTGATCCTGCATTAAAAAACGAATTTGAACCTCAACGAAAAGAAAAAAAAATAATTTTCTCTAAATGGTCTAAGTGGGATTACATTTTCTTTAGCTTAGTTTGAGTGCACTAGTTGTGCCATAACAATATGTGGACCAGTTATGCTTACATACATAGTCACCCACCAGAGGCCCAATTTTAACCTAATCATGACATTATTTAGGCAGACTGTTGAGGTTAATTTTAGTCACTTTATCCTCAAAAATCTTCAAAGTGGAAAAGTATATTTATAGTGTTTTGTATAGTTACAGGATTGGGCAACAAATGATTTTTTTAAATTTTTTATTTTATATATGGTTGTGTAGTGTTGCATTAAAATGTTAAGGTATTTCTGAAAATAACTTGGCCTTAAATATTTGCTGCAGTAGGAATAAAAGAGGTGTTAAAAAAAAAAAGGCAACTGCAGTTTCAGGGTCCTGATGTTCTGCCTGCTTACGCACCATGAGGCTGCCATGTTTGGTGTCACTGGTTTTTAGTGAAACCAGTGTTATAATATTCAGCATTTCTGTTGATGTTTTTTCCTCTTCTTTTCCTCAGCACATCTGTATACTGAATGACCAAGCAAAGGAGAAGTACAAAGTGTGAGCAGATGAAGTGCTGCAGAGGCCGACGTCTGAATCGCTGAAGACTTGGACCACTGTGACGAGCCTCGTTAGCTTTGCTGTGTTTTGAAATGTATTTATTTTTCTATATGCGAATCCACAAAAAGTGACTTGTGGGTTGTAACTAACTTTAAGAACATTTCTTTCCCCCCTTATAAGTGGGATTAATTCTGTATATTATCAATATTTTGGTTGTCAATTTATTGAATTTATGTTAAGACTGAAGGTGTAAATAACAGTTTTGAATAGAAGTGGAGATAAAAAAAAAATGTAATTAATTTGCTCTTATGGAAGTACACACATCTCAGGCTACTGCTTTATTTTCAGTGAGCTGTCAGATTATTTGTAGCCTTCGAATGTTTGAATGTTTCAGTTTGGATTTATACTGAAGACATATCCTCTCATTATGCCATAAAATGACTTGTCATGTACTGTATGTTTTGATTCATGTCCAATGTTTTCACCAAGGATCTCTTTACAGCAATATAAATCCCAGTGAAACCTCGAGTCTGTTTTCAATTTTCCCAGAAGAGGGAGTAACACTGCATTTATGCATGTTTTTACAAAAGTAATAGGCCTACTTTAAACTAATTACCAAAACACACTTGACTGTGGTACTATGTGAAATAGGAGTGGCAAGAAAAAAGGATGTGAGGGGGGGGTGTAGGACATGTTTCAGGGCAGCAAGACTGTGGTTAAGAATGACAAGTACAGTTGGGATTGTATCAGGAAGGAGGCTGAGGTGGAGTTAACCAGGATATACAGGATTAGCAAATGAGTACATCAGATGGACAGGTTGGAGAGACGAGGCTGAGATGGTTTGGATGTGTGCAGATGATAGATCGTGGATATACTGGAGAAAGGATGTTGAAGATGGAGCTGCCAAGCAGGAGGAAAAGAGGAAGGAGTGCGTGCAGTGGGTTAGTGAGACAGAGGAGAAAGCTACGGATAGGGTGATGTGGAGGTAAATGATGCACTATGGCGACCTCTAAAGGAGGCAGCAGAGAGAAGACTAACGCGACAAAAATACCCTCTCTCGAGTTTCTCCGCAGTCATGATGATCTCCGTGATCCTATTAGAGAATGTTTTAAATTATCAAACACTCTCAAAATACACTTGTACTCTTTTTGAGGCTCAAGCATCAACACCAAATGCTTTAGCTAATTGAATAACGTGTCTAAAGCGGAAGTTGTCGCAATTCGACATCACATCCGTTTCTGGTGTTAGCTTAAACTCGGACAGGAAGTAGCTGTCAAAGAAGGGCGAATGGTGTTGGGAAAGTTTGCCATTATATACACATTAGCTTTCCTACAACGCAGGTGTTTTCTGAACTACCATGGACTGATTAGACTTAGCTCTGCTGCTAACGTTAGTTTCACTGTAAGCATAACAGTATTGTTTTTAGCTGTCAACGTTTGTTTTCCAAGATTTTGTGTTTATTTAATAATAAGTCGTACCAGATTGTTCAAGACTTGGACTTTAACCAGGTCACTCACTATCATGCACGTTAAAGAAGAGATTATAGGCATTTTAAAGCAGTTTGACATAGGATATAAGTTTTCCTATCTGCCATTGCTGCCCAGAGCTTCTGTGCTGATCCCGCTGTTCGTGAGGAGTGGGCGGCTGTACACCTTGCTGACGCTGCGTTCAAAAGAGGTAACTTGAGTGGGTAAATGCGGTTTCTTCTCACTTCTCTATCTGGGGTTCGCCACAGCATTTCATCTACCTTTATCTGACCGCTATCCCCAGCTTCCTTTTCTGTCACACCAACTCCGTGCATGTCCTCAGCATCCTTCTCCAATGCAGGCACCCTCTCTTCTCTGCACTTCCAAACCGTCCCAGCCTTGCCTCTAACCCGAACTATCCCTATGATGTACTCATTCCTAATCCTGTCCATCCCACTAACTTCCCCCAAAATCTCAAAAAGTCATCTCCAAAACATACATAAATACATATAGGTCGATTCACCAACTTTCAGTCTTGCTACTGTCTTTCCACGGGCAGTATTGTGGCAAGCACTGTTTCCTCACAGCAAGGTGGTCCAGGGCCTGAACCCACCATCTGGCTGGGGTCTTTATGTCTGACGTTTTGCATGGCTATTTCCCATAGACGGCAGTTAGTGGGGTTACGTTAATGGATGATTCTAAATGGCTGATAGGTGTGAAGGTGAATGCATATGATTGTGTCTGTGTAGCCCTGTAACAGACCTGTCCAAGATGTACCCTTCCTGTCACCCTGTAGCAGCTGAGATAACACTGAGATGGATGCTATCTCTCAGTCACTGTCTTCATCTATCCTGTAAATCCATCTTATTTATGTTTCTTTCTTTGTAGCTGAGGACCAGTGCTGGTGAGGTGTGTTTCCCAGGTGGAAAGAGAGACCCCAGTGACCATGACGATGTGGACACAGCTCTGAGAGAAGCGGAGGAGGAGATAGGTCTATCACCTGATGACGTTCAGGTGGTCTGTACGCTGTTTCCAATCATTAATAAGGTAGAATAAAACATGATTTTCTTTAAGAGTATTGACTGACTTGAGTCTTATTCATTTTCTCAAATCACCCCCTCCTAATTGTCGTTCTTTGTCAACAGACCGGTCTGTTGGTGACCCCAGTTGTTGGCTTCATAGAGGAGTCATTTTGTCCCAGTCCAAACCCAGCTGAGGTCAGTGCTGTGTTCACAGTCCCATTGGACTTCTTCACCAGCAAGGAGGACCACCACTCTACATATGGTGTCGTTGGGATGTCGGGGCTGCTGCACTCATTTTATTTTGTGGACACCGATTCGGGAAGCCAATATCACATATGGGGATTGACTGCCTTGCTGGCCATCCTGGTTGCTGTCCTTGCTCTTAAAAAGAAACCCGAGTTTGAAGTTGGCTTTGACTCTGAGGACCCACTAGCATTCTTCCAACAGATTCTACACAGAAGAATCAGTAAACTATGAACAGATTTTCCCCAATACCTGAAGCCCCATTGAATTTACTGTATAATTTCTATGAATGTGTGTAATAATTGTTTGAAAGGATGTATATAAACTTTTCAGTGTGGTGAAAAGATGCAAATAAAAAGATATTTTCAGTTTTTCAAAATTCATTTAATGTAGCAGCAGGATTACAGATATAAACAAAGAGTATACAAATGTCCAGACAAAGGCAAAATTACATGTTAATAATAGTTCAGATGTATGATAACACACCAGGTTTGACCTTTATCCCTACTGCAGGGTCGTAAGGCTAGATACTAAAGCTCAAGCTACACAGAACGGATACAACAGAACTGTTGGAGAATGTGAAATAGAAGCGAACTAGGAAAAGTGAGCAAACTGATTACACACAAGATACAGCTCACACTATTGGCAATTTAATTTATCATGGTTGCCCCTTTTGATCAAGCGTTTCACAGCAACAATAGTAATGTTGACAAGCACATCAACACAAAGTTCTCGCTAAAAACAATCTCCACTGTCTCGTCCCTTTTACCTCACATGTACAAATCTCATGAGGCATGAAAAGCATTTTCAATAGAAAACAACAAGGTGACAATTCACTGGTGAAGCTGCACAATATTATGTTGATATCTTGCAACGGATTGAGAACATGTTAAAGTATAACAGTTACGGTTATGTCCGTGTCAGGGGGAGGAGAGAGTAACGGAAAAGCTTTCGGATGTTAAACAGTCTTAGAGAATAAAAAGGAGCAATGAGACAAAAGGGACACCAGTAAACACAGCAGAGCAACGTTTAAGTTATCAAGGCACACAAAGTTCTGTTGAAAGCATCACAATTGAAATTCAAAATACCCCTGCAGTATATTTCACATTTAAATATACATGGATATTCATTTACATGACTGAAGGACAAAAATATTATGCAAAGATTTGTGTGCTCTTTTCAACGCCTTTAAATCAACAGTTTCTTTTTTTTTTTTTTCCTCCCCCCCGGTGAAGTGGCTATTCGACAAAGTCGGACTGAAATGAATAATAATAATAAAACTAATGGTCGGTTTTGAAATTACACCACAATCAAAAACAATTTGACCAATGTACAGTGACACAAATGACAGCTGGTGCCGCCCTGCCCATCCCCTTCCCTCCGCCTCAAAATATATCTTCTCTAAGCCTAGTATTGGTCCGATGTCAGATGTAGAGCAAGCTCCATTCCACACACCATGAGGTAAAATTTACATTCATGAAACCGAAGTCACGGGTTGGCTTTCTGTGTTGGTATGGCTTTAAGAGGCATTACTGTTCCGCACTTCTTCCACAACATCATGTGCTCTTTAGCTCCCCTAACTGAGAGGGATGGAATGCTTGGAAACATCACTACTGCACTCTAACTTGATCTACAGTTAATGGACGAGTCAAAGTGCCATTTGAGATGCATGATGTTAAAAACAAAAACAAAAGAGGAGTTTAAAATACAAAACGCCCACACAAAACACACAGAGCACAAAAAAGAGGAGTAAACTTCACGTTATGTTCTACAGTTTGCGTAAAGTCAATATCATGACAGTAGATTTAAGTCTAACATAATCACTTGATGTCCACTTACATTTCTAGTTTCAGTCATAGACTTAATAAACCTGCGCTTCATTTCAGGGGAAAAAACCAACAAAACACTAGCAATGATAGTTCTTTGCTATGAGCAAAAAAGAAAAAAAGTTTAGTTTTACAAAAATACTCTACATTTTGATACATGGATTACAAAATTCTAAAAAAGATAAGTTACTTTTAAAATGGATCACTAACAGCTGCAAAGATAAAAGAGTATGACCATGAAAATGTAAACAATGCATGTGAGCAATGCGATACTAATGTCTGAAGTCTCCAAGAAAAAAAAACATATGTACTTTTTTGGGGGGGATAACGCCAAATTGGCTAATATTAGATTTGGAAAGTTCAACAATGTCAACTCTTCATTGAAAAATAGAGTGATGTATCAAATTGGTGGAAATGTTAATGAGATAAACTGATCTATGAAGCAAAGTACCTTCGCAAAACTATAAGAAATCTTGTAAAAGAGCAAAACAAAACAACCCCCCCAGCATGCTGAATTGTTAGCCATGTGAGAGCTGCATTATGTGAACGAACAAATGCAAATGAGTAAACGTTACGATGGCGAGGACAAAATGGCGACCATTCACAATCAGGAGCTTTGGTATGCCTGGGTGGGTTGCACTCCAGTCTGATCCCTCAACAACAGCCAGCACTGTAGACTCGATTTTTCTTCCAAACTAAAAACGAATGCAAGTGCTATTGATAGTACAAACTGTACTAACATGACACAGAAGTGTCCATTACTCCTCTACATAGCACCAAGGATGGAATCAAAAATGGCAACCTCTATGTAACAGATTTCATCTACCAGTGAGCCCCTGTTCACAACACAAAGAACAGGAGCCAGCTTCATGCGGCGCCAACCTGCACGGGCTACAAACAGAAACAGAAACTTAATATCGAAACACAACACGAACAACAGTAAAAACATTCCAACGAGAAAAACCGAGACTTAGTACAAAAGAAAAAAAACAAAACAATGTAGATCCTTCATGTAAATGTACAAACTAAATGAATCAGTATTTCAGATGTGTTGTCAGTGTCTAAAACACAAAAGGCCTAGTTACCACGCAAACACTGACAAGTGACAATGCCGTTTGTGGGAATGGCTGTTTTTGGATAGACTTGACTGGACCACTGGGACTGAATACAAAGAGGGACTCAACAGTGAGCAGACGTTCTATACAAAGTTGTCTAGACCTCAAAAATACTCTGACATGAGAGAAAATGTAAAAATGATGTATCTATTTGTACAAAGATGACTGCTTTCAGCTTTTCCCCCCTCTTCTTCTTCTTCTTTTTTTTTTATAACCCCACCCACTGGACGTTTCAGAGTACAAATTCATCTTAGATCAGTAGAGAGCTGTGGATGGATATAAGGAGTAGCAGGTTACACAAAAGAGGTTATAAAGTGCTTTAGATAAAATGTTTATAAAACCACACAACACTCCATTTTCACTAGTGGAAAGGTTTTTTTTCTATCCACATTTAACTGATAAAGAGTTAACTTTTTCAAAAGCAACAAAAGGAAAAAAAAAACCAAAAACACACCCTAAATAGTTGAATGCTATTTAAAATTTCACCAAGAAAGGCCTGCACATAAGAGAACACTGGGAAGTGCCAACAAAGGCCACATCACATGGATGAATCTCATTTATGAGTGTGCAATATTCCCTCAACTCACCAGGGTGCTTTCAGTAACACAATGTCTTTACCGGACTTTTTGTGATAAAAATTCATTTCATACTTGTGGTGCCGACACTAATATTAAACTGTGCTGCCTCTAATAATAAACCGCTTGAGTGCAGACTCCACCCATGCCAGTAAATGTTATTAAAAGAAAACATGAAACATTATCCTACAAAGAACTGTACAGTCTAATATTCTGTACTCTTGGAGCAAATTTAATGGCATTTTTGACATATGCAAATGTAAGCTGTGTATTAACAGCATGATTGTTCATATTCTCCACAGCAAAAGAAGTTTAAATCGAATTACTGTGACGTGATTTTATCCCTGTTTTTACATCAGCTAATCTCCCAAACTGACAAAATAAAAAAAATAAAAACACCCACTGTCTCAAAGTGAAATGAAATCTTGGGGAGTTTACACACTCAAAATGAGATTCTGCCTTTATCTGACAGTTATGTGCAATCTGATATTCCGTAACTGACTGTTTTTTATTTTTAAATCTGCCTTCACAACACTCTCCCATCACGGCACCATTCCTCTGTCACCGTTCCTCTGTTGCTGACATTCTTTATCCCTTTCCTGTTTTTTCCCACAAATATTTTTATCCTCATCATCATAATCATTACCACCACCGTCATCATCTCTTAAGCTCACATTATTTTAAAAAGAAACAGGAAAAAACAATAACAACTGGCAACAAAACACTGCATTTGTGCGGCTGGATAAAGCAGTTATTACAGGCCTCTCTGATCCTGCAAGAGGGGTAATAACAAAGGTGGGTTCATTAATTCAAGAACAATGGATAAATGGAGGCTACAGTTAATGATAAATATTTCTTAAAAACAGGTCACATGAACTCATGATTTGGGTTTTCAGTAAAAAGGGCAAGTAATTCTTAAATATTTAAATGACTTTTTTTTTAAGCATTGGCACAAACCCCTACACACGGCCATTTTTAGGGTGTATAACTCTGAGCTACATACACATCACTCACCCCCTAAGTGCTGACAATGGTCCAAACAATAATCACTGCTTCTGTAGGCTTTCCAGTAGGTCCTCAATTTTATCCATGCTGGACGATGTTGATATGGATGCCTGCAGTTGATTCTGTAAGCTGCTCTGTATCTGTGTCTGTAGACTGGTCTGCATTGGTGTTGGTAGGCTCGCTTCTATGTTTCCTTGTAAACTGGACTGAAGGGCTGTTTGTGTGTTTGCCTGCATTGCGTTCTCCAAGGTGGTCTGCATTTGTGCCTGAAGGGTGTTCTGCAAGCTGCTATGCATGGTAGCTGGGATTGGGGAGGCAGCCTGGGCCATGGGCTGATCCAGCAGAGTCTGCATGTGACCGGAGTTCGGGATTTGGTTCTGCGCAGGTTGGCTGGGTCCAGAAGAAGTGAGCAGCTGGGATGAGTCTAAAAGAAAAAGAAAATAATTTTATCCATCATTAAACAGTAAATGTAGCATATAACTGTAGCAATGGAGTAAAACAAAAAGCATATGGATTAGAGCTGTGCCTGACTAGATGACCAATTATCACTACTGTCACTAGTGGGTATCAGACATACTAGCCGTTTAATCTAATTCTTTCAAATTTTAATTGATGCCAAATGCCGGTATATTGTGTCCTGGATGCTATGCAGCCATCTATCACCAGATGGAGCAATGTTGTTGACAAATGCCATAAATCTGTTAATCAGGCTTGATTTTTTTTTGTTAAGACTATTAGGGTTAGGTCTTTTAAAGGCGAAAGAATGAGTTTGCGGATAGAAGCGGTACCCTTCCCCTGAAGGGTGGATGGACTCTCCCTGAGTGATAGGGTGAGGAGTTCAGTCATTCAGGACGGGCTCAGAGTAGAGCCGCTTCTGCTCAACATCAAAAGGGGTCATTTGAGGTGGTTGTCTCCTGAGTAAGATGTTCCAGATGGGCATGTCCCACTTGGGATACACAGGAGAGATTAGACCTTTCGGCTGGCTGTGAACAACTCAATGTTTCTTCTGAGAAGTTGGAGGTGGTGGCTGGCAAGAGGGATGTCTGGGATTCTCTGCTTAGGCTGCTGACCCGTGACCCAACTTTAGATAAGCAGAAGCAAATGGCTAGATTATTTACTGATTTGTTCTTTTAGATTTTAACTTTTAATTAAGTGGTTGTCAAGAGTTTTCGAACAAGGTGCATCATTCGCAATGCACAGCCCAATACGCAACACTTTTCAGTTGCAATTTATTTATTTCTCGGATGTCAATTTGTCATATTTTAATAATATGTGAAAATCTTTTTTAGTACCATGTTTTCTTATTATATTTAATATTGGATTATTTTAAGTGTTTTGCCTTTTCTTCATTGTCTGGAGTAAAATGTGAAATATTTATAACGCAACATGTGAGGTACCGCACAGTTAGGAGGCATGATTTATTGTTGATAGATGTGATTAATGGTTTCAAATGCCTTTGTTTAGAGATTTTGACATTGTCCATTATACTTAATATCAGAGTGTTTCTTAGTTTTAGACTAATCAGACTAATTTTTTTATCCCTCTCATTTAGCCGACTAAGAGAATAGTCACCAGGAACCGGATATGGATATATACAAGTTAATAGGTCGAGCATGATAGTATCATATTCTTCAGAAAATAATAATTTAACATGGGTAACTTTGATTTACTCTACATTAAAAGGTGTAGAGGATCAAAACTGTCTTACCATTCTGAATGCCAAAAACAAACAGACTGGCCTGTCCTTGAGAAGCCACATTGCCACCCACAGATGTCTGGAAAAGCTGCTCTGGGGGCTGCTGACCAGGGCTGGCTACCACACCCACACCACCCTGCACCACAAAGATGGTTGTGGCGGGGGCTGGAGCCTGATTGTTGAGCTCCTGTGAGCCAATAGTACTCTGCAAGCTGGACAGATTTGTCTGTGGTATGAACAGCTCCACAGGTTGATTGTTTTGGACGGAGCTTGAACTTGGGCCCACTTGCATTGGCTGCTGTTCCTGGAACAAGCTCTGTTGTTGGTTCTCAGTGGTTGTTGAGTTGCTGCCCGAAGAGCTCTGGTCTTGGAAGGACATGGGCTCTGCTGTATCTGACTGGGTGATTCCAACGCTAATGGTCCCCATAGGGGAAGGGCCTTGGGTCTGGGTGCTAAAGAGAATAGTAGGGGCGATAGCCTGTGGGTTCAGATCTGTGGTGCAGAGAAGCAGACCTGTTTGCTGTGGTGCAGAGTTGCCCTGTGAGTGATTGGGAATACTTTGAAATAAGGAACCCTGCTGGCCCATTGGAAGCTGTGCTGGTTGTTGTTGGTTCTGCTGTGGGGACTGCTGCTGATCCATTGGGGTGCTCTGTTGCTGCATTTGAGACTGCGGTTGATTTTGAAACATTGAAACAGACTGATGTTGGCTGGCTGATGTCTCCATGGAGGAGATGAATGCCAGCTGCTGCTGTTGCTGGGGCTGATGGTTCGGCGTCAGGTATAGGGTTGATCCTGTGGACTGCTGCTCTGAGTTGAGACTGCCACTAGTCAGTACGGTCAGGGTATTCTGGATGAGGGCAGCCTGGACCTGCTGTTGGGACCCCTGGGTTTCGGCCATGGGCCTAGGCGACTGGAAGAGTTGCTGTGGGGGGGATGTGTGTGAAGGAGGTTGTGTTGGGAAGCTAGTCTGGATAGTAAGCAGTTCTCCAGCCTGTTGAAGGAGAGAGCTGGCCTGAAGGTGTTGCTGTAAATTTTCCAAAACCTGCTGCTCTTGAAGTTGCTGCTGTTGCTGTTGTAGGTTGCTCAACGCTTGATTTTGCTGCTGCTGCTGCTGTTGTTGCAGCTGATGTTGCTGTAAATTGGTAAGAATATGATTTTGTTGTTGCTGATCCTGAAGCTGAATATTGTTTAGAACTTGCTGTTGCTGATTTTGTTGCAATTGCTGTTGTTGAATATTCTCCATAATTTGCTGTTGCTCTTGTGGCTGTAATATAAGTTGCTGTTGCATCTGTATGTTGTTGATGACTTGCTGCTGTTGCTGCTGAAGGTTTCCAAGTATTTGTTGCTGTTGTTGAAACTGCTGTTGTATTTGTTGTTGCTGCTCCTGTTGTTGTATCTGTAGCTGTTGCTGTGCTGACAGTGAATTATCTGTACTCCCCAGTCTAAGGCTGTTCATGTTCTCCTGGACATGCTGCTGAAGGGATTCTGCAGAAGGTGTGGGGCTATACAGCACAGAATTGAGCTGCTGCTGAGCTACAGCTGCTTCTAACACCTGCTGGAGCGTGGTGTTACTTCCCCCCTGGAGTTCTCTAACTGCCCTTTCCAGCTGGGCCACCTCTTCCTGGGGAAAGAGGGAGACCTGGGACTGCTGTGGCTGTGCCTGAGAGGAAGGTGGTATCTGTGGCATGGCCACAACCACCACCCCTGCACTACTACTGGAACTCTCAGGTGACAAGCTTTCCTGGGGGTCTCTAAGGAACTGCTGGGGGACTTCTGGTGTCACAGGTGGTATTGTGGTGTCTCCTGACACAGAGAAGGAGGTTGTTGGGGCAATTTCTTGCTTTTGTATCGTGCTGAGGGACTCTAAGCTAGGGAAGACTGGGGGTGCCTGGGGAAGGTCCACATCTTCTGATGGTAAAGGCATTGTTCTCTGAAAGGACTCTCCACCTGGATGAGGACTAGAGCCAAGGTCCAGAGTCTGCTGCACTGTGATGAGTGGATCAGGGGATGACTGAGAAAGAAAAACAGTGTTAAAGACCGTATTTCTCAAGTAAATATTTTAAAATCTCTTCCTCAAAAAGCAGGGGGTATCTTACTTTGAAGACCTCTGTGGATGGTGGATTGCTAGACACTTCCATAGGTGTGTCCTCTTGCCGTTTGGATGTCTGGTCAGAGATTTCTGTTTGTTCAGAGGGCATAGATTTGATCGGGGTATCAAATAAGCAGGTCTTGACCATGGATATCCCCTCCGTTTTTACTGTCAGGACATTTGAGTTATCAGCTGGAGGTAAGAGTGGAGAAAAGGACTGTTAGAATGTGAGATGGCAACGATTAGGCACTTGAAATCTACATGAGGAGCTTAGCACAAATGACAATACATGACAAGCTGCATGTTCCATATTTGTAATGGATGATGTGGAGAACAAAACCCATCCAACACCAAGCACAAGGCAGTTTGCAACAATCATACAAACCAGGAGGGTATTATCTACTTTTACCATGACCACTTGCCATCAAAACGCTTTTTGTAATCCAACTACGAATATTACTTGTTAGACTGCGCACATGGCAAACAGCCACTTTGTGTTCCTGTTTTAAACTTAAATTGAATCAACTAAAACTACTAAGCTTCAACATCCAGCTTAAAAAGGAAGGAGTTTCCAAAGTTCAACCAGGAATTTTAAAACCAAGAAATAGATGTTTCTGATGACGGGCCTGACAGCAGCAAAGCATTCTGACACATTTTGTTAGTAAACCTTTCTATCCAGCGGATTAGATAGCGTTCTGTGTCTTAAATATGGAGGCTGTTTTTGACACCCTGCACCTTCACCATTTCCCTCTCACTCTCCCACTCTTACCTGTGATCCACCTCCTCTTTATTTTATGTGCAATTTCTTCTTTTCCCCTTGTCACTCAGACTCAGGCTACCAGCTTCACCGTGCCTAAAATTACTTGAACCCACGCAAAAGTCCCGTTTCATCTTCCAACATTATGCTGATATGAACTTATAGTTCCACTTAAACAGGATTTTCAGTGAGTTAAACAATTCCCGTTTTTATCTCAGCTGGTGGGGGGCTTTGACAGTTCTGTGCCATTGTGAGCTTTAATTTTTTAAATGAAACACAAGAAGAAAAAACAATTAAATAACCTTGTAAAGTAAAAGCCATAAGTGTCTGTTTTATTAAATGTATTTGACATTTGCAGATTTCAAGTAAATCAATACGATATTCCAAGAATTTTTAGTAGAGATCACTTATAATAAATCAACTGCTGAGACTTATAATTATACATTTCTTAAATGCTACATCTCCTAAAATAACAATAAAACAAATAATTCAGATTATTTAAATAAACTACCATCCTGCTACTACAATCCCTTGTTAATAATAAGATCGCTGAATGCTATGCCACCTGTTCCAGACATGCTCCAATGTCAGGACCAATTATATCTGCTACACATTTACATATTAAACCTTCATCTGTTAGTGGAAACACAAAGGACTGCCAGTGATCCCTACATCTCTTTTTGCCATTAGGGTAAATGTGTCTGTGACAGCAATAATTGCGGCATTGCTTAATCAGCCATTAGATTTGTCTATATGATTGATTATAATGGTGTAGTGCTATTAAAACTTGTTATAACTATCTGAAAACAGTACTATGTTAGCTCTATTCACTCTCTTCAAAACAGAAATAGCCCATAAGTGTCACACTTAGCAATAAGTGTCAACATTTAAAAGCCATCAATGCCACGACGGCTGAAAATCGTGAACTATGTAACTTTCATGCATAGGCTGCTTGCTGTTACCTGAGTCTGGAGTGTAGGTGAAGGGTTGGGCTTCATGTGATCTACCGGCATTGGTCATCACAAAAATACCCACAGAAACAGGAGAAGTGATTGACTGGTTGTGAAACGGAGGGACTGTCACTATCAAGTGATTCTGGAAAAAAAGATCACATTTTTGTGTCAAGTGTATGCCAAAAAACAGGTTTGATACAGCAGCTTAGATTATTCAGTGAAAAACTCAAGGGGATCACCATCATCCCCACTTGCATATACCTGATGGAAAAGATCCATGTCAATCTTTGCTTCGGCTTGCCAGGAATTATCATCTGAGAATTCAAAAAGATTTGAGAGGGTCTATATGCAGAAAACCATTAACACACATGACATCGAGCTACAATGCTACTGACAAAAGAAATTGCTACAACACCTGTAATGTTCTCCTGAAAAATAACTTTGGTTCCTTTAAGGAAGTTCTTTCCGATTATAAAAACTTCCTCGCCTCCTTTCGCTGAGCAGCTGTGGAGACTCTTTCTCAGGATCTCTGGCACTCCTGCTGGCTGAGCTGAAGAGTAAAAGAAGATTCAAACTATCATTAATAACATAACATAAAACTAAAACACATATTATAAATATTAGCCATCAAATTGTTTCAGGAATCCTAGTTGGCTGTTACTCACTGCAGAGGATCGGCGATGAGGGAACCTGTAAAGTCAGGGTTGATCCATCAGGCTGGGGGATGCTGACTCTGAAGGCCAACCTGGCTCGTGTACTCTTCTTCTTGGATCCTGCAACACCAATGCGGGCTTCGACATCTGCATTACGGAGCTTCAAAATTCCTACACAGTCCACCCTGTAGAAACAACACAGGAAGGAGAAGGAAGGGATAACCAAATATACAAAAGCACATACCAAATACTTTTTAAATATCAACACTGCAAGTAATAACTAGTCTTTAATTATCTGTAAGAACTCCTTACGCAAGTGTCATGTCATTGCTGGGCTCCAGAGGAATCTCAATAACTATGGTGCCTTCTATGTCCACCTCTTTGCAAGCAGTGGTGTTGCGTCCTGTCACTCTGCATGCCTGGTAGAAACCGTGAGGCTTCACTCTGCCTGCATCATTTGCTACAAACACCTGCAGCACAACTGATTCACTCACACCTTCCAACTGCAGACAAAAAAATAAAAAATAAAATTAGTTTTCCAGATTCTAATAAAAACCCCAAAACAAACAAAAAAAACAAAACACCTCAGCCCTGAAAGATTTTCAGTTAAATATAAAAGTTTTAATCATTTGCCAATCAACTCAATCATTTATCTGTGAGCATTATTCATGGTACAAAAGAAGCATGTGATCTGTTCATAACCACTGAGCCATTCAAGAGCGATGTCAAGAATTTATTACTTTAATAATGAATACAAGGCAATCACTATTCATTCACTATCCCTACCCTGATTTATCATCAAGAGGTAAAGGTACTTGTTTGGTTGTTTGCAGTGTGAGTACTGGATTTACTGTTGATTTAATAAAAAAAAAAATTTAAAAAAAGAAATGAAATCAAAGAGACAAGTAGGTTATCCATGTTAAATGCCAGCTATTGAAATAGGAGAAAGGAAACAAGCACGTGGGCAGTGCTAGTACAATCTTTCTCGTGCAGTACTCCTCACTCAGTGTATTGGTTATATTCGATCTTATTCGGCAGCTTCTTCCTTTGGTGGTAATATTTCGTTTGTTAAGAAGCTGCTGGAAGCTTTTGTACTCCAACCTTGACAGTGGGGAATCCTTGTTGTGTACGATCTTTGACAGAACCTCTGCTGCCCTCAGTCAGATAGCGAGCTCTGTGCTGGGTCTCTGGCTGCACCAGGATCTTTAGCTCCTTCCCATCACTCCTCTGAGGGAACTGAGCAGACAGTGACCCACCTTTCACTGCAGTTCCTGACTCGAGAGAGCTGCAGAGGACAAAAAATGATGATGACATTAGTGTGACATCCAAGAATCCAATTACCCCAAGCAAAACTTTAATCAACCTTAATGTATTCCTACAAAGGGGAGAGGCACTCTGACCTAAAGAGACAGAATGTACTCTAGTAAGTGTCACCATACCTGGATATGGAACTGGTCTTATCTGTGCCCAGCTGGGATAGCACATAGTGAGGGGCTTTGGCGCTGTCAGCATCAAACACATCCATGCTGTCTTCTGGAGGAGCAGGCTTGGGACCGGGCCGCTGGCGAGGAGTGCGTTTTCTAGACTTGCGTGGCACCTCTGTGTTGTCATTGTAGGAGATGGAGCTGATCAAACTGAAGTTCGAGACAGACTCATCGGCCCACATGCTGCTGCTTTGCTCCGAGTCGGGACCTGGTGCACCAGATATGGTAGGTTCCTCTTGGCAAGACATCTGGCTGTCATCAAACAGATCCTCGGGTGGTGGGGATATGCTCAACACAGTCCTTCGCTTTGATGGAGTGTTCTGGGGCTGCTGGACTCCTAGCCCCGGCAACCCTCCCGGCCCTACATCCCCTACTGTAGCGTTTGCTCCACTGCTGCCTCTGTTGGGGGCACCCTCCGCACCTTGCATCTCTGAAACACCAGCGCCATCTCCTCCGCTGGAGTGGAGATGCTGGGCAACCTTGAGATGGTCTGACGATGAGGTAGAGGGGCCAGAGGATGTAACGCCTATGGCGAGGGAGGAAGAGGCAGAAGGGCTGGAGGTGGAAGAGGTGGCATCTGTAGTAGTGCATATAGATATAAAAGTTAGAACAGATGTTCACCACATAGCAGGCTAGCAGTCCCATTCAAGCAGCTGAATTTGTGCATGATTTGTATAGATTTCCCCTCTTCCCAACTCTAATTTCAACAAACTGTTGTGGGTTATGTGCTCTCACTGTGCATGCGAGAGCTGTCAAGCACTGACCAAATGTTCTGAAGTTAAAGTTGAGAAGGGTACTATAGGTCCCACAATGTTTTGATTTCCTACAAAACCTCTGATTAAAAATCAATGTGACAAAACTGACATGCCTTGTTTACAAAAACAAAAGCAAGCTACAAATTGTTACATACACATTGCCAGAAAGAAAAATAACAAAATCTGGTCAAACTTTCTTGTACAGCCAAATTTGCAAGCTGATAATGTGGCGCCAAATTAAATTTGCCAGGTTTACAGTAGAGTTTGTGCAATGTGCATTCAATAGTAAACAGTAGTTTGCGCATGCCAATTGGAATATTTGGTTGGGACTGAGCGTAGCCATGGAGACAGAATAAACAAGCCTCTGACCTATGGAGCAGTGAACTGCAGACCATTTTATATGCAGACACTCCCTGCCTCAGAGGGCACTTCCTGCAATAAAAATGAGACAGCCAATGAGCAACAAGAGAGCTGATCATTCAAGACTTAACTTCTGTCAATGAGTAAACTGGATGAGTTAATATACTGAAGGAAGGAGTATCTTTTGAAGTTTATCATTTATAGACACTCGGAAGCACGTTTGTTTGGTTAATGATGATCTAAAAGACATCACATGAGTCATGCTTTTGATCAGCACTGCTTAGGGCCAGCTGGGTCAGACATGATAGTAAAAAGGCAGCGTTAAAAAAAAGAAAGAAAAAGCGCGCTCTCTCCAACATGATTGTTCACCGGTTAGTTTGCTTTTTAGATGAAAACCATGACTAGAATCCTTCACAGTTTTAACTGATGTCAAGAACATCAAAATGCACCATGATCCAAGATCAGGCCATTTTCTTTGCTTTTGATAAGTGATATTGAAAAATACAGTCCAACGTTTGCTGGGGCAACTTCACTGTTTCATGAGTAGACAAAACCATTGTACTTAGTGAAAATGTTAGCAACTCTGTAACATGAGAGTCAAACACTTGTGCACGGTTCACGGTGCAACAGATGCATCTCTTTTACTTTTGTTAAAGGCATTTAAAACTCAAACTATAGAAAGGGCAATACTCAAATAAAGCGAAAGAAATTGAAAACGTGAAATGCAATATGCCAACTCTAAAACACTATATAACGTCATAACATGAGGGATGTTGTAGGAGATGATTTGGATCTGTAAAGCTGAGACAATCTGATGGGGTTTTTTTAATTTACATTAAGAGCCAAGGGAAAAATAAAATTTAGTACAAGCGTCAAAAAGTTATAAAAAAAAGAAACCCAAATCATAGGTGAAACAATAAATAAGAGGCCATGTCAGCATGCAAACGCTGCATTCTGAATTTAAAATTTTGATGTAGGTGTACATGTAGCTGGTGTTTATTGTCAAAGATGCAAAGGCGAAAACAGGGGAATTCAAATTGGTATTTATCTGCTCAGCTATAATACATACAATAAATGATCTGAACTGTCATTGAATAACATGAACGGCAGAACACTTTTTCCTGGTCACACTCAAAAGATGCATAAAATTACCGTCCCTGACCTGTGGGCCACGCTTTCAGGAACCTGGCCACAAAGAGTGTTAAATGACCAGTTAAGACATTAGTCTAAAACACTACATAAATATATATATATATTTTTTTAGAGATTTAGATTTATACTGTGAACTGGTTAGGTGAGGTGGTGGAGGTGTGTTTGCAGAGTGGGTGAATATAAAAGGTAAAACGCTGTCATGGTGCTTGATATGTTTAGAAATGTTTTTATTAACACTCTAAAAAAATCAAAACATTGAGTGGTTAAAATGTTGCCACTGTAGAGTTGGTTCAGAGCAGCTTCAACTCCATTGTTTAAAATACTCTCAACACTGCCTCCAGCCTCTGTACCACAGTACACAACACTACTGAGCACACAGCTGTGTGGAGTTAAATGATATCTTCACATCAGGTGCTAAGGGTGTTGAAATTTTTCACTAGGCCCGCAAACAGCGAGTGTCAAGTCAGGCTTCATAAGCAACGTCACTTTCCATGCTGCTGCTAGTTAACAGGATCGCCCACCACTAACAGTAAAAGATGCTGACAGACAACAACACAACAGACATCAATACGGTATAATATTGGAAAATTTTAAAGTTACAACATATATTTGAATAAATCCTGTGTTTAGCTGCACAGAAGGGCTTTAGAACTGACCCCCGACTGACTTGTTGGTGCTGTACCCTTGTATAACATGGGGCCCAGCTAACACGTAATAACCATGTATCGTCATGTCAGCAGTTTTGAAATACTTAATACATACTAGCCTATATAAATCCCCTTTAGTCGCAAATCTTGCCTCGGAAACTGATGAAAGGGTGAAGTTGCCCCCAGTCACTCACACAAGGCCACATTTCTTTACCCCTGCTGACTTGGGTAATAGTTTGTAACAGAGAAACTGATCCCAGATCATGGTTTTCATGGACTGAGCAGGTAGCTCACCTGACGCCAAGGCTGCAGAGGGGGGAGGTCCCGCCTCTCCCCCACTATTCTGGCTCATGGTGGGTGGGTCTGTCTGGGTGGACGATGGCTGGAGCTGGAGTTCTTTGGGGAGGAGGTCATATACCGACTCTGCCATAAAGGATGAGCAGGAGAATACAAATTAGTTTCTGAAAAATAAATGAGATTATTGGTAATTAGAGGACAATGCAACTAAAAAAAAAGATCCATACCCGCTCTTCTTAGATGAAAATATTCTGTTTTTAAATACCCATTTTCAGCAGGTTTCCTTTTAACCTGTTAGGAACGGTGGACCATGATGAAAATAGCAACCTTCAAGTCACAACTGCTTCCAACTTTTTAAAAATAGAACAAAAAAAACCATCTGCCTTTATTGCCAGTTAACTCAAATAGGTGTTGTCACAATTTAACCCTGGAAACATGAAGCACACAATGTTCTAACTTATTCTACTGAAAACAAGGCCTCAAGGGTTGCATAAGGCAGCCATCTTAGCCTCAAACTGAAGCTAATGCAGAACTGCTCGCAAGCACAGTCCAAGTCATAATACAACTGCTGGAGCTTAGTTCTAGAAATCGTCACAATTCTTCGCAAAATAGAACCTTGCCAACAGTCAATTTCACTTCCACTAATGCAAGCTTCATGGCAAAAACAAAACTCCTACAGTATCTCACCAAAACTGGTTGTTTCCTTATTTGCTTTCCGAAGACAAGTGGAAGCAATACTGCAATCCCCTAAAAATTCTGCAGTCAACACTAGCACAACACAGGGTATCTTATGATGAACTAAATTAGCCTCCCGTGGGGTTTGGTGTAATAAAACCCACAGAGTCATGAAGATATTTAATGGCAACATGATTCCTTGTAGACATAACGACCACTGCAGCCACACTGGAATAAATCAGATCTGATGCTAGATAAACACATGATTAGGTAGTGCGGTTGCTAAGAAACAGGCACCTATCAACACCTTAATATGGATATTTCAGCTTTGCATCGACAGCACCAAGGATGCGTAGTAGTCATCTAACACTTGCCTATGATTTTGTTCCCAACAGAGCGATGACGCTGACAAGACACATGATCTTGCACTTCTGTGATGTCAGTGATGGTGCTGAGCTGGTGGCAATGCATCACCAAAGTTCACACAATGAACAAATAAAATCTGCTATTGTTTGCATCAAATCCCCTTACAGCACTGCTGAATGAATAGCACAATCTAAATGTCAAAAGGCCAGAGAAAGTTTCATTTCTTTTTCTTAACAAATATAGAAAGAGCTGTGATATTTCACAGATCTCGGTGAGATCAGTTTCCTGTGCAGCTAGAAAAATAAAACGTGGATTTAAGTGAACCTGTTCACAGCAAGCTTCAGAGACTAGAGAACTGCCAGCAACCGTCTGATTGTGTGCACGAATATCACAACAGCCCTCAATCTTTGCCTGTGGTGCGTGGCATGAAGAAAGTGAGTCTTTGTTGCTGATTGCATTACAGATTGACTGACAACGAGACATGACCTCAGCTTTAACTAGTATCCCTATGAACAATAGAAGCATGCATAGTGGGTACACTGAACATGTGCTGTCACCTGCTTTGAACCCATGTATTAGGGCTGTTCGATATAACGATATATATCGGATGACGATATAAAAACATCTATTGTTTCATTTTACGCTATCGTTTGTTTGTTTCGTGGTGTTGCAAAATAAACTGTTTACGGCAATATTTTTTCATCGTTTTGATGGTCACTGTAGTGGCTATATTAATTTCTTAAAGTTCTCTCTTTCTCTTATATTTAATATAACCACACTACAGACAGACAAGCGTTTGTTTTTATGCGTTGTCGTTAGCAACAACGACGGTAAAACCACAGCGTGTCCGCTTGTTCCACATAAACCTTTCACAATAAAGCTCAAGATCCTGTTGAGACTTTTCAAAATAAACTGTATCACGTGAAAGATGCATATTGTTTACGGATGAGAAGCAAAAAAAGAGCTGCCAGGTGCTAAAAAACAAAAAACAAACCTTAGACTCAAGCGTTAGAACAGGCTTTTCCCCGCAGCACGCTGTGTAATAAATACTCAAAGAAAACGGCCGTTACAACGTATGTCTAAAAATGTATAGTTTCATGTATCAGTTAAAACACTCGACTCCAGGTACGTAATCCCCTTGCTGGAAACACTTCACGCAAGTCGAGCTGCCCGAGATTCACAGAATTTATAGAAAATGTTAAATTTTTGTGATTTATATCGTTATCGGACGATAGATGTCTTAATATCGGGATATGAGATTTTGGTCATATCGCACAGCCCTACCATGTATATGCTTCAGTATTCAATCACATGCAAACAAATGTTCTCTTCATAGACTCCCAACACATGTGCAGGAGTAGCATGGCACTTCTGCTAAAAAAAGAGCAGCACATAATAAAAAAAACAAAGGACAGAAATTGCTGTTCACTAAGCTGGGTACCCTCTTGCCAAGGTTGGCAAAAGGCTTACATGTACTGGACAGATCAAAAGGAGTCCACACTGTGTTAAAGAATGTCACTGTTGGCCTGAAAGGGGTATAAATCACCCGTTCTCTCTGGGTGCTTGCTGGTCACACAGCAACACAAAACAACCACAGAAAGTCATACTGTAAAAGGGTTCATTGTTCATAGGATTTTTTCTTTAAAAAAAACAAAAAAAAAACAGCACACATGCACTACAAATGGTTGTTTATTAGAAATAAACTTTACAGAATCTTATAATCTTCTTGACTACAACTCAGAGCTCTACTAAATTACCCCTCTAAAAGTTCACCACAGTGCAGTTTAAGCCTAAAGGATTTGCTCGTGGTGGGAAACCTACCCAAGAAATGTTTTCAAATCAGAGGCATTTTAAGGAGTCTTTTATGAATCATAAAAGCCAAAAATAATGATTAGCATGTTTACCTGCAGCACAAATTTGTTTAAATGTGCACAAATATTAGGTTGAGACACACACAAGATTCAATTACCTTGTGACACAGGCCAATAACCACACATTGTTATTGAGTCAATCACTTCAGGTTCATAAATGCACAGATTGGATTGCTGTCAGCGATTTAATTTTTACTTTTGAAGCACACTTTCCAGTTTAGGGTGTGCAGTATATGCAAAAGAGTGTGTCTATATTCAAACCGTGCTGTGACTTGTGCTCGTGGAGACTTGAAATAAAAATGATTAATTGGAGCCCTATTGTTATTTTCTCCCATTTATTCTCTATTTTCTTTGAATTTAAAATTCCATCTAAAGCAAAAAAAAAAAAAAGCTCATTATAATCCATCAACTAAACAGCAGCATTTCCAAATGCTTTGTTGAGAGTCCAACAGCCATAATGTTAAGTAGGGCTTTTATTTTCATGTACAATTTTGGCTTCTGGCGATTATTAAATTAAAATGAATGTGGTAAAACAAATATTCTTCTGGAATCAATTTCATTTGAATGTTCCTGTTTAAATTTAAATCCAGCAGAAGTTGTGCGTCCACACCCCTGCATAAACCTGCACCTCACCTATTTAATCTATCCAAAAGTATAACTTTCAAAACCAAACAAGCTTTCTGTAGGTGAAAATATCACTTTCCCCAAGAGTGCAGCTCTGTGGCTACCTGGGCTTCTTTTTTAAGCTTCCCATTTGTATATAAACCTCCAGTGGCGGAACCACTCTGTATACCTTTACAAAGATAACAACATCAAACGAGTAGCGCTGATTAAAGCTAGGTGATAGATTCACTTTTTCAGGAAAACCAGAAAATGTTATTTTTACTTTTTTAAACAGACTCTGTGGGCTTAGAAGCCGTTTTGCAGCATATACAAAAAATCCTGAAGTTTGAAAACAAATGTTATCTCAATTTTAAATGTGTGTGAGAAACAGTATACTAAGTGCTTCAATTAGTGGAAACACCATACTAAGAAACTGCTGCAGTGTCAACAGCTGCTGTTTGGATTTTGTTGCACACCTTCTTCCGCACGTACAGCAAAGTCCTTGAAGCCAGTCTCGTCAGTCATCACTGTCCTGAAATGCCTCCAGGAAAATTATCTTTAATTTTATTCGTCACCTGTGCTTAACCCTAGAACACTAACGTCGGATGATTTTCACCCACGTGCTTGTAGTCAAATGCCATCGTTTGTTTATTTCTCCCACAGTTGTCAGCGATGCAAAGAGATTGTGCCTTCTCTGGACAAGGCTCACACGACGAGGAAGAGGTGGGCAGAAGAAAAAGTTATGTCTATTATTTAATTTTTAAACAATATTTTCGTTTACGATTCTCAGTTTATTTATTTTTTACTCATTTTGAAGCGTTTATATAGGGTCCCCCAATGATACTGTTTTCATTTCATGAGACGTTGTTTAAGGGGAAATGTAACAAGAGTACTTCAATTTGCCACATATTAGGTTACTTATTCAGATGGGAAGTATGTTTTATCAGCCATATGATATCAGGTAAAAAATACCTGACATTAGTGACAGTGTTATAAAACTGCACATAAGTGTTCTAAGAACTGCCCTCTGTCAAAACAGATAAAAACCTCTTTAAAAGGTTTTCTGACCAATCCTTAAAATAGGTTTTAAAATGTAGGTTAACTCTCCAGTTCACAAAATACACTTCCTGCACTACATTTTGGTCTTATTTTGCTTTACAGTAGCAAGTTTGACAAGTCTGTTTGGACAAATCTATAAGCTTGTCCAAACAGTAGCCTACAGCACACTAACCTACCAGGAGGTGGACTGACTTTAACCTAGACTTAGAACAATTAACTTATTAGACAAGCACATGTTTGGTTTGTTTTTTCCATGTTTAAAAAAAAAAGGGGGGGGGGGAATGCATCACAACCTACAGTGTTGCTTTAATTATGGTTTTGAACACATAACAATATGGTCAAGCCAGAGTAGTGACATAAAAGCTACTTTCCACATTTAAACCACAAAAAATGCCATTTTGGCTTTTAAAGCTAACGGTTTATCTTAAATTTTAAATTACTGCAAGAAATGGCCCAATACAATTTTTATTTGCTTTCAGCCTGCTAGTGCAAATCAGATGGATAAACAAGGTTTAACAAAATTACTTAAACGACATTTCTACAGTGTAAATT